GAAAGACGTCTTTCCACCTGCTTTGTGGACGTGGAAAGACGTCTTTCTACCTGCTTTGTGGACTTGGAAAGACGTCTTTCCACCTGCTTTGTAGACTTGGAAAGACGTCTTTCAACCTGCTTTGTGGACGTGGAAAGACGTCTTTCCACCTGCTTTGTAGACTTGGAAAGACGTCTTTCCACCTGCTTTGTGGACGTGGAAAGACGTCTTTCCACCTGCTTTGTAGACTTGGAAAGACGTCTTTCCACCTGCTTTGTGGACGGGGAAAGACGTCTTTCCACCTGCTTTGTGGACGTGGAAAGACGTCTTTCCACCTGCTTTGTGGACGTGGAAAGACGTCTTTCAACCTGCTTTGTGGACGTGGAAAGACGTCTTTCCACCTGCTTTGTGGGCGTGGAAAGACGTCTTTCCACCTGCTTTGTGGACGTGGAAAGACGTCTTTCCACCTGCTTTGTGGGCGTGGAAAGACGTCTTTCAACCTGCTTTGTGGGCGTGGAAAGACGTCTTTCAACCTGCTTTGTGGACGTGGAAAGACGTCTTTCAACCTGCTTTGTGGACGTGGAAAGACGTCTTTCCACCTGCTTTGTGGACTTGGAAAGACGTCTTTCCACCTGCTTTGTGGACGTGGAAAGACGTCTTTCCACCTGCTTTGTGGACGGGGAAAGACGTCTTTCCACCTGCTTTGTGGGCGTGGAAAGACGTCTTTCCACCTGCTTTGTGGACGTGGAAAGACGTCTTTCAACCTGCTTTGTGGGCGTGGAAAGACGTCTTTCCACCTGCTTTGTGGGCGTGGAAAGACGTCTTTCTACCTGTTTTGAAGTATGCACTACAACACTTGGGAGATTTCTGCTAACTACTTCCACTGCCATTTCTCTAGCAGGACTTCCCATCCAGTCCAGGATATCAGGAGGGCTTGGCGCTGTGCACAAGATGCTGCAACAGAAACATTGTTTTGAACATTATTGACACTCATAATCAGGTCTAGGAAATACTATTTTTGTTCTTCTCAAACACCCAGCACTGCACTTGATTAGCCGTGGAGCGTGTTTTCCTCCAGAAATGCACCCTTTTGTTCTGTAAATATTAAAATTATACCAATGTTTTTATACTATAACAGAATAACCACTGACTATTAAATATTTATTAAGTAAAACTAGCATGCTATAAACCCAGTAGTATTTTAAATTGCATGGTATGTGCACAAAACTATAAATTGAGAGAGTGATATGGAGTTGCAATAGATATTTTTATGGCAACAAATGCACAGGAAGTTCACTGCGATTTTATTGTAGTTCAAAATGCTACTGTTTCTATACAGTGTCTTGTGAAAGTATTGGGCCCCTTGAACTTTTCAACTTTTTGCCACATTTCAGCTTCCAACATAAATATATAAAATTTATTTTTTGTGAAGAATCAACAACAAGTGGGACACAATCGTGAAGTGGAATGAAATTTATTGGATGTGTGAAACTTTTTTAACAAATAAAAAACTGAAAAGTGGGGCGTGCAATATTATTCGGCCCCCTTGCGTTAATACTTTGTAGCTCCGCCTCTTGCTGCAGTTCCAGCTGCAAGTCTCTTGGGGTTTGTCTCCATCAGGTTTGAACATGGAGACACTGAAGTTCTGCCCATTCTTCCTGCAGAACAGCTGGAGCTCAGTGAGGTTGGATGGAGAGCGTTTGTGAACAGCAGTCTTCAGCTCTTTCCACAGATTCTCGATTGGATTCAGGTCTGGACTTTGACTTGGCCATTCCAACACCTGGATACGTTTATTTGTGAACCATTCCATTGTAGATGTGTCTTTATGTTTTGGATCATTGTCTTGTTGGAAGATAAATCTCTGTCCCAGTCTCAGGTCTCTTGCAGACTCAAACTGGTTTTCTTCCAGAATGGTCCTGTATTTGGCTCCATCCATCTTCTCATCAATTCTGACCATCTTCCCTGTCCCTGCTGATGAAAAGCAGGCCCAAACCATGATGCTGCCACCACCATGTTTGACAGTGGGGATGGTGTGTTCAGGGTGATGAGCTGTGTTGCATTGTGTCCAAACAGTTGGATTTTGGTTTCATGTGACCAGAGCACCTTCTTCCACATGTTTGGTGTCTCCCAGGTGACAAACTTTAAACAACACTTTTTATGGATATCTTTGAGAAATGTCTTTCTTCTTGCCACTCTTCCATAAAGGCCAGATTTGTGCAGTGTACGACTGATTGTCGTCCTATGGACAGACTCTCCCACCTCAGCTGTAGATCTCTGCAGTTCATCCAGAGTGATCATGGGCCTCTTGGCTGCATCTCTGATCAGTCTTCTCCTTGTTCCAGATGAAAGTTTAGAGGGACGGCCGGGTCTTGGTAGATTTGCAGTGGTCTGATACTCCTTCCATTTCAATATGATTGCTTGCACAGTGCTCCTTGGGATGTTTAAAGCTTGGGAAATCTTTTTGTATCCAAATCCGGCTTTAAACTTCTCCACAACAGTGTCTCGGACCTGCCTGGTGTGTTCCTTGGTCTTCATGATGCTCTCTTTGAACAGAACCCTGAGACTCTCACAGAGCAGGTGCATTTATACAGAGAATTGATTACACACAGGTGGATTCTATTGATCATCATCAGTCATTTGGGACAACATTGGATCATTCATAGATCCTCACTGAACTTCTGGACTGAGTTTGCTGCACTGAAAGTAAAGGGGGCCCGATAATATTACACGCCCCACTTTTCAGTTTTTATTTGTTAAAAAAGTTTGACACATCCAATAAATTTCATTCTACTTCAAGATTGTGTCCCACTTGTTGTTGATTCTTCACAAAAAAATAAATTTTATATATTTATGTTTGAAGCCTGAAATGTGGCAAAAGGTTGAAAAGTTCAAGGGGCCCAATACTTTCACAAGACACTGTACATTATCAGAGAAGAACAGCAGTCAGCATCTAACACAATGTAAAAACTAAGTAAGTGGTGAAACAGGAATGTGTTGTTCATTCAACCAGCTAACATGAATTCTTTGCACATTTACCTACCTTGAAAGGCGTTTTGTTGCATTCATCTAGTCGTGACAGGCGGTTGGTAAAAGTCAACTCGGTTCTGTTATGGTGTGAACTTGGACCAGAAACAGCCTCATGGTAATGACACAACTGCTGCAACACTCGTTCAGGTTGAGGCGAAGATGTACTAACCTGTTGGCAACTTCTCTGAGTAACTCAGAAAATTACTTTTCTCCTGCAGCCATGACGTTTGCGAACTTACGGGACTGATATTCCATCCGTATCAGTGTTGCCAGATCTCGCGATACAAACAAGCAACCAGCTCTATGAAAACAAGCCCCATAAAAGCCCGACTGGCAACCCACCATATTGTGTAAAACAGAGGCCATTTTTAAAAAGTATAAACATACATTTATATGGCATTACACATAAACAACAGCAAAATTATGCTAAACACTTTGAATAACAAACTTTTAAGCTCTGATTAAAAAAAATACATTTTGCATATGTAACAGCAAACTCATAGTAAACACATGTTGAATTACATCAGTATGGCGAGCACGTATTTCACACTTACAATATGTATAGAATGCCTTTGACACATCTCCAATCTGAGGTCGGATCCATTCTTTCTCCCACACTTTATTATATTTTTTTCCATATTTTCCCCACTTTCTGGAGCTCATTCTACCATGGTTTCATCACTGACCTCTGGCTGGTATTATGAATGACGACACAGGCTCTAAGTTCGATCACCTCGTTTACTCAACTCCAACTGAGATCACAGAGTAACAAGCGCAAAAAATCTTATTTTTTCTACATATTTTTAAAAACTAAACATCCTGACATCTGTGTATGAGTGGAGCCCCCTAGTGGTCGGCCACAGTATGACTGCTTGTTTAGTGCACCTGTCGCCTCGCCAACCTGGGAGGGATAAACAGGAAACGGGGCGTGGAAGGGACAAACTACCTACTACCACTTGTCTTTTGCTTTACTGAGCGGAGCTGGGAGATAATCAACTAGATTCACTCGGAAAGAAAGTCAAGCTCAAATAAGCAACTTCACGTTCAAAAACAAGCCCAAAAAACACCTTCAGGCCCAACTCGATACTCTGTGTGTGATTACTTCTGTCTGTGTAAAGGAACCAATCGATCAACTGGATCCGCCTTGTTTCTCTTGATTGACAGACGAAGTCATTCTGCTGACAAGTGTCATTATGAAATAAATAAGCCGTCATGGAAAACACCATTATGAAAAAAAAAAAGAAGAATGTTTTATATTAATAAGAACATTATGAAAAAAAAATCATAATAATGAGCTTAGATACTTATTTCATAATGTTTCATTTATTTATTTAATTTTGGCCATTTTGGTGTTCCATAGTTATTATATAGAGGTAATGCAATAAGTTGATCAAAAATAATCAGATAAATGAGTTATCTCGAGATGAAATAATTAACTTCTCTAGAGAAATGGAGTCTCGTTATCTTAACATTTCATGACTTCGTCTTGAAGTGAATGAACATCTCAAGAAAAGCAACATTTAGATTGTGAGATGAATCCGTTATCTTAAGACATTGTCAAAGATGTAAATGGTATGACAAGCTGTGGTGTCAGAGCTTCATGAGGCTGGTTGCTGAAGGTGTCCTTGGCCTGCAGCGTGATGCGGAGCCTTGTCGGCTTTCGGAGTGTTAGATTTCACCTGGCACTCTGTTCGCTCAGAGCATGAGGCAGCAGAGGTGGCTCTCTGCAGATCAGTAGATCTCTGCAGAACTTTGTGAATCATCGAGCAGCTCGGGGATAATAACAGTCAGGAGGACTGAGCCACTGTTGACAGCCTGATTCTGGTTCCGTTCACCTCAACCGAAGGTCACTGAGCAGACTGCAGAATGTCAGGAGGATCGAAGCTCATATGGCGAGTGTTCGTGTCGTTTATTTCAAATAAAGCCACTCACCTGACATGGCTGTCTTCAGTCTGCTGCAGATCCAGGGTCTCCCTTTGTCTGCAGGGAATCGGGTGCGTGCTACTAGTGCTGCAGCGGCTGATGCTGGAACGGTTCCTGTAAACTCCGACAGAGAACGGGTCCGATGCTGCGATGTGAAGTCACAGCTGACAGACTGAAGCATTCTGCCTGTTTGTCCAACTGGTCATTCAACTGGCAGCCAGCAGGAGTTGTGCAACAGTCATGGGTCTGGCCTACTGCTCTCATTACCTGCACTGAAGTGGGCTGACTTTCACTTTAGAAGAACCAACACAGTGAAAACCACAGCCCACTCTCACTCTGAGGCCTTCCTAAAGAAAAAGACATCTACCTCTTAATGTTTCGTCACTTTATATCTGTCACCACTGGCAACTTTATTTTAAATTACTGAACATGTCAACTCAGGTAGAGCTGCTGCCTCTCAACAAGAAAATTGCCAGGTTGAATCCCAGCTGAGGACCTTTCTGAATGGAGGTTACATGTTCTCTCTGTGCCGCGTGGGTTTCGGTTTCCTCCCACAGACCAAAAACATGCATGTTAGACTGATTTGTAACTCTAAAATGTCCCTAGGTGTGAGTGAGAGAGTGAATGGTTGTTTGTCTCGTTTGTCTCTATGTGTCCCTGTGATGGACTTGCAACCTGTCCAGGGTGTACCCCGCCCCTCGCACAGTGATTGCTGGACATGGGCACCGGCAACCCCCGTGACCCAAAATGGAAGAAGCGGGTAAAGATGATGGATGGATGGGTTTACCCAGCAGAAGAATCCACCAGAAAGATCTGGCCTGGGGACCCCTGGCTGCTCCTGGGTGGTTTTGGGGTGGGCGCGGGCTCCGGGTTCTGGGGGAGTGTCACTCCCAGGCTGGGGTGCCGGCTTGACCCGGGGGTCTCAGGTCTTGGCGGGTACGTTGTTGGGGTCTTGGGCCGGTGCACGCACCGGCGCCCAGCCCTGGGCAGGGGGCCCGGCCCTGGCCTGGGGGCCCAGCCCTGGCCTGGGGGCCCTTGGTGCGCTGGTGGGCTTTGGGGCCTCTACCATGGGGGGTGATACTGTTTGTGGGGGGAGGATGGGCCATGGGAGGGGACATGTGGATTCAACCTGGGTGTCTTCTTGCCTGGCTGTGGCTGCGGTCTGGTGCTTGGCTGGGCGTCTGGGCTGTGGGTGAGGGGTGTATTGGGGGCTCTCGCTCGGGTGGCTCTGCACTGTTGGCCCGGGGGTGTCTGGGTGTGTTAGGTGTGTGCCCTCCCTTGCGTGGGGTACTCTCACTGTGGGTGTTGCTGTGGTGGACTGGTCAGTTCTTTTGTGGGGGTGGGGGTGCACTCTCTGTCGTCGTGGTGCACTATCTGTGGCTGTTCGGGCACTCCTGGCTGATTGTCACTGTTGGAATTTGGTGGCTTCTTTGGTCGGGGGGCTGGGTGTTGAGCTGGGGATCAGGTTGGGGGGTCTGGATGGTCTCGGGGGGGGGGGGGGGTTCGGTCGCTGGCCTTGGTTCTGCTTGGTCCTCGGGGCTATGTGCCAATCCATGGCCTGGGTCCCAGGTGGTGCGGCTGCCTCCTGCTCCTGGATGGATGTACTGGGGCCTCCCTCCCCTGGTAGATCTCGGATAATGGGGTTGCCTATTGGGGTCAGTGGGGGAGCTGACCCCCTGGGGGGGCATTGCCACCTCAGTTCTTCCTCCCCATCCCAACATCTTCCTCCACCCACTCCATCACACCACCACTCAAGCAGGGCCTTGGGGTTCAGGTGCACTACAGAGCTGCGGGTAGGATCCTCCATCTCCGTGGTTCGTGGAGACCTAGGCCTCAATTTTATTAAACAACCTAGACACTCACATATAACATTCTCATGACACATGCATATATAGGGTTTGGAGTGGGCACACAGTGGCATATAGGTGGTGGGATGTGTAATCATTCTCACCTCCGGGACCTGTGCCCACTCTCATATGTAGCATGTAGACATTTAGGGTTCTGGGCAAGGGTTGAGGAGGTGAACGGGCACTGCCTGCTCTCTGGGGAGGGGGTGGATCGTTGCCGGTCGCCTCCTCACCCCCCCCCCCCCCCCCCCCCCCCCCC